AAAAAGTAATTACACTCATCTACAGAATCTTACCAACTCAGTGTTACATAGCATACTAAAAAATCTGTAAAATATAATTACACTCATCTACAGAATCTTACCAACTCAGTGTTACATAGCATACTAAAAAATCTGTAAAATATAATTACACTCATCTACAGAATCTTACCAACTCAGTGTTACATAGCATATTAGTTAGTTTTAGGGACAAAACAAAATAAAGTTTTTTTTTTGTGATATGAACCTGCTTAGATGGAAACATTGTCTGAGATCTAACAATCTACCGAGTGATGTAGATCGAAGTTAAGGCCAGTCCAAAATGTGTTTCACAGATGAACATTATCAAAAGCATTTGTCCCTTCTAGACTGACCCACAATATGATCAGTGATGACCCTTACAGAGGCTGAGCTTGGAGTAACTTATTTTTAATTGATGTCACTTTCAAGACATTTAGCATTTAGTTTCTTCTTCTTGTTTCCTATTGTTGTTTTTTTATGTTTGTCTTTTCAGTGTTTTGATTTTAGCTTCTTTTATCAAGAAATTTTATACTTGTGTTCAATAAGCACATTCATTAGGTAGCACAAAATTAATAAACAAATACAGTAGTTCTACATACTGAATTATTTCAGTAAACTAATAAACAAATACAGTAGTTCTACATACTGAATTATTTCAGTAAACTAATAAACAAATACAGTAGTTCTACATATTGAATTATTTCAGTAAATTAATAAACAAATACAGTAGTTCTACATATTGAATTATTTCAGTAAACTAACAAACAAATACAGTAGTTCTACATATTGAATTATTTCAGTAAATTAATAAACAAATACAGTAGTTCTACATATTGAATTATTTCAGTAAACTAACAAACAAATACAGTAGTTCTACGTACTGAATTATTTCAGTAAACTAACAAACAAATACAGTAGTTCTACATATTGAATTATTTCAGTAAACTAACAAACAAATACAGTAGTTCTACATATTGAATTATTTCAGTAAACTAACAAACAAATACAGTAGTTCTACGTACTGAATTATTTCAGTAAACTAATAAACAAATACAGTAGTTCTACATACTGAATTATTTCAGTAAATTAATAAACAAATACAGTAGTTCTACATATTGAATTATTTCAGTAAATTAATACAGTAGTTCTACATATTGAATTATTTCAGTAAACTAATACAGTATTTATATTTTTTTGCCTCATGCTACTAAGATCACTGTTTAAGATAAAATTATTACATTATACTACTAGTTCAGAGAAGTTATGAACATTTTTAGTCAGATACATTATTTGTAAATGGGAAAATGGATATTTTCTTTAAAGTTCTTTTTTAGAGCTGCCTTGTGATGGTGAGAAGAAAAAAAAAAGAGGGAGAATTTATATTTGAAATATTCCTGTATTTGTGATAGATGATAATTTTGTTACTGTAGAAGTCAGTAGAGGGGTGTAACTTGCCAAATAAACATAACTATTATGGGTGTAACTTGCCAAATAAACATAACTATTATGGGTGTAACTCACCAAGTAAACATAACTTCTGTATGATTATGTTACTAAACACACATTGCCCTAATACAAATTTTGTTAGTGCTATAGATTTAAGTTGCATAAATTTGTGAACCATGTGTGTTATTAGTTCATTAATGTGTTCAAATAAAGAAATAGTTTGTTTTAACAATATCCACCTAGACTTTGTTTCTGAATAATAATTTTATCATGTCTTTATTTTTGCACAGTGGCACTTTACATTACATACATTTAGTATATAAACAAGAATAAGTTATACCAGGAATATTTAATTTGGATGACGTTTCCTAGAAGCAGAAATGTTCTGTAGATTTTAGATTTGTTACACACAGAAAAAAAAAAGTTGATTTTCGGTTCGTATTGCAGTGCCAATTTAGTGATGAATTATACTGACACTGAAGTCAAAGTTCGGGAAGCGACCAACGATGACCCTTGGGGACCAACTGGAAACCAAATGCAAGAAATTGCACAAAGTACTTTTTCATACGAGCAGTTTCCAGAAGTTATGGAAATGTTGTGGAGGCGGATTCTACAGGACAGGAAGAACTGGAGACGAACCTATAAGGTCAAAATACAAGTACAACAATGTCAATTAAAAAAAATATATTTTATTTAATCTTAGACACATTATTGTACAGATATGAGTTAGGGTTAGTTATTGTAATTGGGCTCACTAATAGGGCTGGGTGATTAGTGGAATTTAGTAATCAATTAATTTTCAGAATAATTAATTGATTACATTATTGTCTTGAGACATTGATAGTTGAAATAATCGAAAACACTAATTATGGTTAGTTAATAATTTTTGTGAGTTGTGACACTAATATATTAAGCTGAATAACTTTATCTTAGTTGTCCCCTTCCATTATGTTAATAGTATGTTACTTTGTGTTAGTTTTCCCCTTCCATTATGTTAATAGTATGTTACTTTGTGTTAGCTGTCCCCTTCCATTATCTTAATAGGTTACTTTGTGTTAGCTGTCTCCTTCCATTATGTTAATATGTTACTTTGTGTTAGCTGACCCCTTCCATTATGTTAATAGTATGTTACTTTGTGTTAGCTGTCCCCTTCCATTATCTTAATAGGTTACTTTGTGTTAGCTGTCCCCTTCCATTATCTTAATAGGTTACTTTGTGTTAGCTGTCCCCTTCTGTTATGTTAATAATATGTTACTTTGTGTTAGTTGTCCCCTTTCATTATATTAATAGTATGTTACTTTGTGTTAGTTGTCCCCTTCCATTATGTTAATATGTTACTTTGTGTTAGCTGACCCCTTCCATTATGTTAATAGTATGTTACTTTGTGTTAGTTGTCCCCTTCCATTATGTTAATATGTTACTTTGTGTTAGTTGCCCCTTTCATTATGTTAATAGTATGTTACTTTGTGTTAGTTGTCCCCTTCCATTATGTTAATAGTATGTTACTTTGTGTTAGTTGTCCCCTTTCATTATGTTAATAGTGTGTTACTTTGTGTTAGTTGTCCCCTTCCATTATGTTAATATGTTACTTTGTGTTAGTTGTCCCCTTCTTTATGTTAATTATGTTACTTTGTGTTAGCTGTCCCCTTCTATTATGTTAATAGTATGTTACTTTGTGTTAGTTGTCCCCTTTCATTATGTTAATAGTGTGTTACTTTGTGTTAGTTGTCCCCTTCTGTTATGTTAATAACATTTTGCTTTATGTTATTTGTTAGTAGTACCTTTTATTAACTTTACCTTGTTTTATTTTAATAATTCCTTGCTCTGTTTTCTGATATCAGAATATTATTATGTATTAGGAAAATCAATACATAAAATTAACTATTATTCAAAGTCAGCTATCTAATAGATCAGAACTAAAAATTAATAATTAGTTAATGTAATATACTCCTCTTAGTTATAATGATTTATAACTTGCTGTTAAAACTACTTTTGACTGTTATCCCAATGATTCAGCTGCCTTATGAGATTTAAGTTAGTCCTATATCCCTATACTAAGTTAGTAATGTCCAAGATATTCCTATTAATAAAGAATATATAAAAGTTACAGTTTAAATATCATATTGCTTATATAAATAATGTTTCATAGAATCTTTTTTCTTTTTTTCTAATCATCCAGCCCAATTTATGAGTTGTTGGAAAGAAATGATAGATCTGAATTGATTTTTTTAAAACACTTCTGGTTTTGAACTGCAATGTACAAATTAAGAGAAACATAGCAGTAAAACATCTACAGTTAACTTGTTTTTATAACAAAAAAAATCACAAGTTTAACTAATAAAAGATATATAATGTTAAGATATATAGTGAGTATATTTGTACACGGTATTGGTTCAGGACCATTAACGATTTGTATTACAGTCAGTATAGAAGTACTTAAAAACAAAATGTATGGTTTGTATACGGATACACACACACACATATACATACATGTACATAGTAATTAGAAATTAATTTTTTTAGAGGGGGCTATTTATACATTGACTGTTAAACAAAACATTAATAATTCAGAACCATCACTGGTATAACATTTTATTGCATAATTAGTTACTAATTGTGTTACAAATGCAATATTTTGTATGGAATTCTAGCTTCTTTGACTAAGCATGTAAAACTAATTACGATAATTTTATTTCTTGTAGTCTTTATTACTGCTAACGTACTTGATGAAGAATGGATCTGAACGTGTGGTCACAAGCACCAGGGATCATATTTATGATTTGAGGAGTCTCGAAAGTTTTCACTGCGTAGATGAATGTGGAAAAGATCAAGGAATAAATGGTACACTTACTGTTGAGAAACTTTCAACTTCTGTAAAAGTGTTACAGCATGCAGGAATAAGACAATTCCATTTAATCTAATTACTTTTTAGATTTTTTAGGGTTTGTGTCAGATAAAAAAACTTCAGTTTCTTGTCCCTGAAACTAA